ATGAAAGAGATGAGAAGAACGTCTTACACTTTAGAGAAGTGATGAGAGAGCAGACAGTCCCCAGCATGTTGTCAGTGTGAGGTGTAAACATCCTTAACTATTCAGCTGAGATGTGAAAATGATTGTAGTGAGAAGAGAAGCAACAGATAAAATTCAATTTAGCTGCATTTTTACTTCATATGAAACATTTTTAAACCTATTATGCAACTTTTATCAGTATCTGTTTAGGTTGATTCATGTGATTTACTGCAGCTAGAATGTGACAGTTATCAGAGTTTTAGGAAACCATTTGTCAAATTGCTGTTATTTAAAAACACACACACATAATAGGTTTAATTGTGTTAGATGCACATAATTTAAAATGCACATAATTGTGTACATATATATGGCAATTTGTGTTGTTGGTGGTCATTATACTCCTCGATATTTTATACTTTCAGTGATGAATGTAAAAATCAAAACAAGTAATTCAGTATTTATTAGCAGACTGTCTGAAGTGGATGAGTTTTCAATGATGAACATTAAAATAATTCAAAAACTATTTGAAGGTGGTGGGTTTACACTGAGTTTGCTGAATGGGTCTTTTGTCAGCATGTGAAAAAAAGAGCATCAAAAAGCAGAAGTAATAGTGAGGAGGTTTTTGTCACAGTGTAAATCACTGTGATACAGCATTATTGCTGTCCCATGTCTTACAGTAATAGACTGCAGAGTCTCCCTCCTGCACATTTTTGATGATCAAACGATAATCTTTTGTTGACTGATGAGTGGATGTGAATTTTGGAGAGGAGAACCCAGAACCATAGGTTGGAGAACCCCAGCTATGATAAAAATACAGCACAAACTGAGGAACTCCTCCTGGAATCTGTTTGTACCAATAGACATAGTTAGTAACAGTCCCCAGGTTACAGTCCATGGTGGCTGTCTCTCCTTTCCTCACTGGTAAAACAGGAGGTTTCTGTGTCAGCACCGTCACACCACTCACACCTGCAAACAACAAGAAGACATGGAGTCATGAGAAACACAAGTACATATGAATACAACAAATAACTACTAATCTGAAATATAAATGAGGTTCCATACATGTTAGAGCAGTGATGAGAGCACAGAGAGTCACCAGCATGTTGTCAGTGTGTGTTGAGACCTGTGACTTAGAAAGAGATTGCTCTTCTTCTGTAGGAGGAGAGGAGGTGTGAGCCGTTAAATATGTGACAGAAACTCAGAGAGACTGACAGGAGGAGGAGCTAAATCTGCGTAGTTTGCGATGTTTGGGTAATTTATGTTCAGTGGAGGGTAATTCTGTTTTTGTATTAATAAATATTGGTGATTGTGATGTCTCCCTCCTCTCCATTAAAATTGTGCTATTGCATTTTATTATGAAAAATTGTTGCTATGTCTCCTGGGTGAGGTGTTCCAGGCATGTCTGACTGGGAGGATTCCCCGGGGCAGACCCAGGATATGCATATCTCTCGGCTGGCCTCAGAACACCTTGATGTTCCCCCAGAGAAGCTGGAGGAGGTCTGGGATCCTCTGCTTAGGCTGCTGCCCCCGCGACCCAGCCTCGGACAAGTGGAAGAAGATGTATGTATGGAAGGATGGTTGCTATGTCCTTCAGGTTTATTACTGATGCTTTTACCATTACCAGTTTTATGTTTGGAAAATATGTATGAACTTCTCTGGAAATTCACATGAAACTGGAGTGTTTAGGATTAGGAGAACATTTGATAAAATGTTACGCCATTTATGAACATTAAACAACTGAATACAGAGTTCAAAAAAGAGAATAATTTTAGTACTAGAACTGTGTGGGCGCCTTTTTCATTGCAAACTTGAGCCACATGAGTTTTGTGGTATTTCTCACAAATGAAATCACTGTGATACAGGCGTTTTGATATAGTTCCCCTGATTCACAAAAACAAATACCAGTGTCGCTCATCTACATCTTGAGAGTTGAACACAACAATTAGAGGACTGACTAATTTGCGTTTACTAAAACATTTTGGTTTTAGACACTCAAATTCATTTTTGTGTTCATTTGTTTTGTTCTACAATTAATGGTTGGAAATGTTAACTCTTCAGAATTCATAAAAGCTGTAGTGTCACTCAGTTGTGTTTTGTTTGTTTTTTGTCTCAGTATTCATGATTGTCTTATGTTCTACTCAATAGTCTATGTTTCAGTGCAGTACAATGCTTACCCTCCTTTTAACTCTAAATCCACATCTAATGATGATGTAGAATTTAGTCAGTCTGAGGAGAATCCTGTTACAAAGTAAAGTGAATTGTCCTCATTGAAAAACTCTCCATCAGAGACTTGAATCATTACAGGCAGTTCCTTGAACAATTTTAGTTCAAATGCAAATGGCCTTATTGTCACACATCACACATTTTCTTCTTTTCTTACATTTAATGATGCTGAATCTATGTTTATAACTATTTAAGAGTTGAGTCTGGTGTCTAAATTTATATTACTTATACGTGCATGCATACAATGTAGGTCTGCTTTTTGTATATGATTTTGCATATGAGTAGTTATTGGCTGACAGCTGGGATAGGCTCCAGCGCCCCCCACGACCCTGAAAAGGATAAGCGGAAGCGAATGGATGGATGGATGGATGAATATGGATTTTCCCCAGTTTGCTTTGTTCATGATTTCAATGATAAATATTAAAAAAAAAATATGAACAAACAAATAACACACTATTTGAAGGTTTGTTTGTTAGAGGTGTCTTTTACCAGGTTGTGAAAGAGTCTTAAAAAGCAGAAGTATCAGTGTGGAGGTTTTGTCACAGTGTGAATCCATGTGATACTCCACTGTTAGCAGAGCTGTCCCATGTCTTACAGTAATAGACTGTGAGTCTCCTGTCTCTGCCTGATTAATTATGAACTAGGAATCAATGTTTGACGAGGATTTAGAGTTGAATCCGTCAGAGGAGAATCCTGTTCCAAATTCAAGTGAGCTGCCAGAATAGTGAAAACTTTCTGAGGAACCCCTCCAGGAACTTGTTTATACCAGTTAACATAATTCCATCATATCTCTCTATGGTGCAGTTGAGAACAGCTTCTTGACCTGAAGAAACTGTGTGGACAGCAGGTGTTTGGGTCAATATGATCACTGCATCAACATCTGCCAAGAAACTGAGAAAAGAAAATGAGTGAAAGATTTACCTAAAAATATACAGATTTTAAAATCAATAAAAAGAACATCTTACACATTAGAGCAGTGATGAGAGCACAGAGGGTCCCCAGCACTATGATAGTAGGTGGAGAAACTGATCCTGAAAGATGAGAGAGGCTGTAGTGAGAAGAGATACTGAAGCTTATAAAGACTGAAAGAGGAGGAGATTCAGAAAAACAGCTTTTAAGACTAAATTACTGATATTAATAATTCATAATTTCATACAGTGAACATTGCCATTATATGAGCATTATTGTTTCAAACTCAATGATATCATAATTTTCTTTGAATTTGCTCTACAAAAACTAATATAATGACTTAATCAGTGTATATGTCACAGTACTGGGTCTGCGACTCAGTATTTGTCTTTCAGGTTTTGGATTTATAACGTTTGATTACTGTTGTTCATGATTTTGGTTTCCTTTTAGGTTTTCAGTGACCTTAGTTCTCCCTCCCTTAGTGTTTATCTCAGCCTGTGTTTAGTCTCTGCTGCTGTGTTTTCTCTGTGCTGTTCCTGTGTTCACCGCTTCATGTCGAGTCACCCTTGTCTCTGTGTTCATTCATCTCCTGTGTCTCCCCAGTCAGTCATGTCTCCCTGTGAATGTTAGTTACCCTTGTCCCTGTGACCCATGTTCGCTCTGTCTTCGCTGTCAGTTGGATCTTCGTGTCAAATCTGTGTCTTTTACTTTGATAGTCTCGCATCCTTTGTAAATATTTCTAGTTTTGCTTCCTTCATGTCCCTGTGTGATTGCTCCCAGATGTATCTGATCCCCTCGTTACTCCCTGTGTATTTAAGCCCTGTGTTTTTCTCCGTCAACAAACAAAAACAGCAATAGAAATAAACACAGAGAAATTCACTGATCTGTATATGTTTACATTCTCTTTCTACCTCATTAACATGCTTCTGATGAACTAAAGCTGATTCAAAATAATAAATCTCTGCAACTAGCTGATCTGATCTGAGTCTTGTTTTTGTTTTTTGACTGAATTTTAGTGAAGCATGAATTAGTGAAATTATTGAACTGTAATATAAAGAGGATTTGTGTGGTCTCATTTTTCTTCGTACTGTGGCTTGAAATCAGATTAACCAGTTAATATGTTGACAATGTTTTTTCATCAATCATGTTTTACAGTACAATAATATTAAAAGCTGATGATGTGAGGTTTTATGTGTGAATAATATGTAAATATTTTGGTCCTTTGTTTATTTAAAGTGAAAGTGGAAATAAATAAAGAAATACAATAAATACATTTAACAGAGCAATGTTTAAGAACTAATTGTTTATATGGTGCACTGAGTTTGTACCCAAAACACAGAAGTAATAGTGAGGACGTTTTTGTCACAGTGTAAATCACTGTGATGCGTACTCCTTAACAGAAGTGTCCCATGTCTCACAGTAATAGACTGCAGAGTCTCCCTCCTCCACATTTTTGATCATCAAACGATAATCTGTTGTTGACTGATGAGTACATGTGAATTTTGGAGAAGAGAATCCAGAGCCATAGTATTGAGAACTCCAGTCATGACGAAACCTCACTACATACTGGGGAACTCCTCCTGGAATCTGTTTATACCACCAAGCAGGTTCATTAGTAACAGTCCCCAGGTTACAGTCCATGGTGGCTGTCTCTCCTTTCCTCACTGATAAAACAGGAGGTTTCTGTGTCACCACCGTCACACCACTCACACCTGCAAACAAGAAGAAGACATGAAGTCAAGAGAAACACATTAGTATATATGTGTGTAATATATTTCAAAGTGTTTACATGTTAGAGCAGTGATGAGAGCACAGAGAGTCACCAGCATGATGTCGACGTGAACTAAGAACTGATTTGAAGAAAAGGTGCTGGAGGAGCTATTTAATACAAGTATCAGGAGGAGGAGTTGTGTCTCCTCCTTTCACCCTATTACATCATCGTAATATTGTTTTTCTTTTTTCTTCATTTGTTTCTTAATTAGCGTCATAATCTATATATTCTAATTGAAGCATAAAATTTTTTTATTGTTGACTTACAAAGCCCTGAATTGACAGGCTCCGGGGTATTTGTCTGACCTCTTACAGCCTTGTGTGCCCTCTAGATCTTGTCGATCAAATAATCTTTTGCTTTTAAACATACCAAGGTCGAGGCTGGTTCACAGAGGTGATCGAGCGTTTGGGGTTGTAACGCCTAAACTGTGATATAATCTACACCAGGGATGGGCAACTACAGGCCTCGAGGGCCAGTGTCCTGCAGGTTTTAGATATCACCCTGGGTCAACACACTTGAATTAAAAGATTAGTTCATTACCAGCCCTCTGGAGAACTTTAACACATGTTGAGGATGTAATTTAACAACTTGAATCAGCCGTATTGGATCATGGACACATCTACAACCTGCAGGACACTGACACTCGAGGCCTGGAGTTGCCTACCCCTGATCTACCCTTACACATCAGACAGGCTCCTACTGTCAATCTTTTTAAATCTCATCTCAAAACACTTTTGTATTCATTGGCTTTTAATACAGTAAGAGAGTTTTTTGATATTTGTTTGGCATTTGGTGTTTGGTACTAATATTATGGGTTATTTGGTACTAATTATTTTGTATTTTTATACAGCACTTTGGTCAACATTGCTGTTGTAATTAAATGTGCCATATGAATAATAAAAAAAGAAACTAATGTTTAGACCATCTAACATAATTCAACCATTTCTCTGTGTTGCAGCTGAGAACGCCTTCCTTATCTAGAGTGGACAGCAGGTATCTGAATAAACACTAACACTGCATTAGCATGTGCCAACAAACACATAAAGAACATGAGTGAAATGTCTTTCTCCAAAAAGATGGGCTATGAAAGAGATGAGAAGAACGTCTTACATTTTAGAGAAGTGATGAGAGAGCAGACAGTCCCCAGCATGTTGTCAGTGTGAGGTGTAAACATCCTTTAATATTCAGCTGAGATGTGAAAACGATTGTAGTGAGAAGAGAAGCAACAGATAAAATTGAATTTTGCTGCATTTTTATTTCATATGAAACATTTTTAAACCTCATTATGCAACTTTATCAGTATCTGTTTAGGTTGATTAATGTCATTTACTGCAGCTAGAATGTGACAGTTATCAGAGTTTTAGACAACCGTTTGTCAAATTGCTGTTATTTAAAAACATGCACATAATTGTGTTCATATATATGGCAATTTGTGTTTTTGGTGGTCATCATATTCCTTGATATTTTATACTTTCAGTGATGATAGTTAAAATGTATCAAAAAGAGAAATTCAGTGTTTATTAATAGACTGTCTGAAGTTGTTGAGTTTTCATTGATGAACATTAAAATAAAAAATAACAATAAACACAGTATTTGAAGGTGGTGGGTTTACACTGAGTCTGTTGAATGGGTCTTTTGTCAGCATGTGAAAAAAAGAGCATCAAAAAGCAGAAGTATCAGTAGGGAGGTTTTTGTCACAGTGTGAATCACTGTGATACAGCAGCAGAGCTGTCCCATGTCTGACAGTAATAGACTGCAGAGTCTCCCTCCTCCACATTGTTGATGATCAAACGATAATCTGATCTTGACTGATGAGTGGATGTGAATTTTGGAGCAGAGAACCCAGAGCCATAGGTTGGAGAACTAGAGCTATGATAAAACCTCAGCACAAACTGAGGAACTCCTCCTGGAATCTGTTTATACCACCGAGCAGCACTGCCAGTAACAGTCCCCAGGTTACAGTCCATGGTGGCTGTCTCTCCTTTCCTCACTGATAAAACAGGAGGTTTCTGTGTCAGCACCGTCACACCACTCACACCTGCAAATAATATGAAGACATGGAGTCACGAGAAACACATTGACATTTAAATGTAACATGAGATCTATTCTTCAGTATATTTTAGACTCTTTACATGTTAGAGCAGGGATGAGAGCACAGAGAGTCACCAGCATGTTGTCAGTGTGTGTTGAGAATGGATTTGTAATTTGGAAAGAGATTAGACTCCTTCTGTAGAGGAGAGGAGGTGTGAACCATTAAATATATCACTGAAACTCAGAGAGACTGACAGGAGGAGGAGCGTTGGATTCGTCCCCCTTTCTCTAACCTGTATCATTAACATTATTTTCATTAACACTGATGTTGGTAATGTCTTGTTGTTTTCTTCTTCTTTTTCCCCTTTTTTCATTTCTTTTTTGTTTGTTCTTTTGATTGTTCTTTTAATTTTATAATGGTTACTATCTCCACATCTAAAGTGAGGCAGGATTATAGTTCGTTATATTTTACTTAAACTTGTGCTTTATTCAAAAAATATGCCTTGATGTAACTTTTGCTAAATTTGAATTCATCACCATCTAGAGAACACTGTTAGATATTTTTAATGATGCTGAGGTTCTTGTATATTTACCTCAATAAACGTTACGTTAGTGACTACTTTCCCACTAACTTGATCAGACTGCTTTTGCAGCTTTTCTCCCAGCACAACTCTCTCCTCCAGTCCGAGTCACCTCCTGGTAGAGGGAGAGCCTCATTAGCTGATCAGCCCCAGCTGCAGTTAAGTAGCAGAGGGGGTTGTTAATCAGCACAGGAGCACAGAGGCTGCAGCCAGAAAATACACAATGTTCAGCAACTAGAAATGCCATAAAAGTCTGAAAGTCTAGAAAATGACAGTAATGATATTAGCATTATTTACAGAAACATTAAGTTTTCAGCTTAAAATTTCCAAACTATGAAAAACCATTAACAACATCCAGTGAAAGGGAAGCACAGAAAATATATGCTGTTCCAAAAAAATTAAAGAAACACTTTTTAAGAGTATCGCATCAAGTATGTTAAATTTCTGGTCTGATCAGTCAAGTAGCAGAGGTTTGTTAGATTGTTAATCAGTTTCAGCTGCTTTAGTCTTAATGCAATCAACAACAGGTGCACAACACGGGCAATGATGAAAGAACAATCAAAACAAATGATTTTACACGTGGAAGTCACTGGCATTTTCCCCTTTTACTTTTTCTGAGTGTTTCTTCACTAGTTTTGTATTTGGTTATGGTCAGTGTCATAGCTGGTAGAATGAAGAAAAACCTGGACTCCAAATCCTCCAGTACAGTGGAGGAGTGTGTGTCTCTGGTCCAGTGGATTCCGGGTTCCTACTGGTGCACAACAATACTCATGAGGAGAGAGTATACAGGGACTTCCTGAAGACCAAGTGAACTGTAAAGGAGTAGAGTTGAGAGTAGAGCTGCAGTGAAGATTAGTTACAGAGCTGGACTCCATTTAGTTTATTTTGTTATGAGAAGTTCATAGACCAAACCAAAGAGGTAAACTGCCTTTAATTTACCAAATTATAGTGAAATGCAGCCTGAAAATATAATAATACAAATCACATTTTATAGTCCAGGGAAGTCTCATCTAATGTTACAGAGAGCTGACACGACTTCATTTGCATGAAGTTATAAAAGATACCAAGACCTGCAGATGTATCCTGGACAGGAAGAGAGGGAGGAGTAGATGTGATGCTTCATTAACTGAGAGTGAAGATTTATTTGCAAATTTACAACCGACGTTTTAAACCAGTGTCACCTTTCCCTTTGAGTTTTCAAGCAGAATTGTGTAATGATACTCTCCAGTCTACAAATATGGAAAAACAGGCATTTTCAGAGCATTTCTTTAGAGTAAAACAGTTAAATGTGGTTACACATTGATTATGTTCTCATATCTTCACCTTACTAAAATGCAACAATTTCAGGTTAGTCATTCTGAATTTATGTTAGTGGCTACTTTGAAAGTGTATTCTTGCTCACTAAAAAAGTAAAACAAATGTTGTATAGCCAATGCTTTTATTGATATATGAAAAATAGCAGTTTCTCTGAATATCTGCAAATAAACATATGACTTAAACATTTTGCTTTACTGTGATTTCTAACATGTATCATATCAAATTATAACAAATTTATGTGTATAGCACATTTAAAGACCAAAGTACACCAAAGTGCTTCCCAGTAATACCATAACACAGATAAAATCACAATATAAAAAATATAAATTACAGATATAAAATAATTACATAATGTAAATGCAGAGCCGGATGAAAATCACTCTAATTAGCCTCGGATGCTAGGTTAAACAAGTAAGTTTTTAGACATGATTTAAAAGATTGAATAGAATCAGATGCGCAAACGTCAAGAGGAAGATTATTCCATAATTTGGGTGCGGCAACAGCAAAGGCACGGTCTCCTCTAGTCTTCAGCTGAGATCTAGGTTGCACTAAGAGCAGTTGACCCGATGATCTTCGTGCTCTCTAAGGGCTATACTGACAGAGGAGATCAGCTAAGTAATTTGGCGCCCTATTATTTCGAATTTTATAAGTAAACAATAAGATCTTAAAATCAAATCGATATTTAATAGGAAGCCAGTGTAAGTTGGCTAGAACGGGGCTAGAACTTCAACATGAAGTTCTCCAGGGCTGGTAATGAACTAATCATTTAATTAACCCACCGGGCCTCGAGTCCTGGAGTTCGACGCCCCTGGGTGTGTACCTGTACCTCAGGTGGCAGAGCAGGTCAGCCACTAACCAGAAGGTGGTTCGATCCCAGGCTGCTCCAGTCGGCATACCAAATATCCTTGGGCACGATACTAACCCCATGTTGCTCTCCGATGCGTCCATCGCAGTGTGAATGTGTATGAATGGTAGATACTTAGCACTTAAGAGCTCAGAAGAAGGTGTTCGTGTGAATGGGTGTGAATGGGTGAATGAATTAGTTGTATAAAGTCCTTTGAGTGCTCAGAAAGAGTACAAAAGCGCTATATAAGAACAATTTACCCCTGGTCTATTGTGTCAGCTGTTTCCTCATGTGTTTCCACTTCCCCTAATCTCCCTTCTTTATATTTAGTCTGTGTGTGTCCTTTCAGTCTTTGTCGGATCATCTGTGTTACCTCCCTGCAGGTATTCATAGTTACCATATCATAGTTGTCTTAGTCCATTCATAGTTCCTCTGTCTCATCTCTGTCTCAGTTATTTCAGTTCTTCCAGTTTAGGCTTTCATTTAGCTCTCAGCCCTGTTTGCCTTCGTTTGAGTTCATGTTATCAGCCACAAAAAATGCTTGCCTTTTGTTTACCCCTGACTTCCATATCCCTTTGTGTCTTCACTTGTCTGACTGCACAGTTATCTATATTAATTATTTACTACAATATTAATCATGAATTTGTACAAATGATAGAAAAATATATACATTAATAATACAATAACTACAATCAATCACACCATCAGGATTACCAAAGTCATGTTTAATCCCCATGTCTGACAAAAATAATGTTCTTGAAAAGTGGTTGTAAAAGTATCAAACATTTACTAGTGTCCTTATCCTCACCTTTCTACATTTTCCTTCTGCCTTTATAAATATGTTTGTGATCACTACTAAATGTAAATGAAGATGGTCTAACTTCAGTATAGCTTTGGATTTTTGTTTAACTGCATGTTTACAACACTTCAGTTAAACTGCAGTTAGAATGTAACAGTTAGACATGTGAGTAGTGTCTATAAAATGTCTGATACAATTTCTTGCTTTTGCTGTTCAAAGATGCTCAGTTTGAACTTCAGCAGTCTTATGCCTGCATGCCTAAATGCTTTGAGTTGCTGCTGATGTGAAATGCTGGTTAGATATTTGGATGACTGTGGCGAGCAGTGGAAGAGGCATAATTAATAAAGTGGTTGCTGAATGTATGTAGTGTGACTTTACTGGTGTATAGGAATTTCTTTCACTCATGTATTAATCATGTTATTGTAATGCCTTGGTGCCACTGGATTTTAACATGTCTGACACTCATACTTAAGACAAATGGTAGGGGGTGTAGTAAGGATGTTGGGGGAAACAGGAACTCCAGAGGACCAGTCTTTTGTCTCTTCGAGGACTCTGGGAAGTAGCAAGGGAGTGTGAACCTTAAGGTGTGAAACAGCTGTGTACTGCCTTTTGTTCCTGGAGAGAGCCATGCTAGACTCAGAGAGACTCTGCTGACCGTCTGTCCCGCGGACATGCAGGGGCTCCATCAAGCTTGGTTGTCTGTTGTCTTTGTGTGTTTGGATTAAAGAATGTTAGCTACCGCTCGTCTGCAGGCTTTATTTAAGTGGAAAACTTCCACCTGGACTATACCGTTATGTGTTTTCTTTGTCTGTTTTCTCATGCATAGAGTTTGACGAGTATTATTTTGCTCTTCTCCATTTCATCAGTTATGTAAAGTTTCAAAGACATTCTTCACATTTCATTTTTGTTCTACATTAAGCTCACTCTCTGCAGAACTCTATCAAAGGTCAGTAATATTTTGAGGAAAAACAAAAAAAACATTTTGATGACTCTGTAGTGTAGTTAAAGTTTTACATTCATTCATCACAGAGTTTAAATAATTGATTGACTATTGATGTTTTGACAAATGTGAAACAGTTTCATTGTTGAAGTGTCTTTTGCACAGATGAGTCTGTGTTATAAAAAGTGTCCTAACTGTTCTGAGACGAGCATGCACAGTGGGCTTTTCTGCTGTGAGAACTGCACCAAATTGATTGAGAGAACATGTAATTTGGTTTATCTGATAATTTGTGAATTTGTTTCACTGTTTTCCTTTTTATATTTTTAATTAAAGAACAAAAACTAGAAATCCAGTATTTAAAAACACAGTATCTGAAGGTGGTGCGTTTTCTTTAGAATTTTCTTGATGGATCTATAATCTGTAAGTGATAGTCTGAAAAAGCAGAAGTACTAATGAGGAGGTTTTTGTCACAGCCTGAATCACTGTGATACGGGTGCAGAAGCAGAGTCATCCTATGTCTGACAGTAATACACTGCAGAGTCTCCTGTCTCTGCTCGCTTGATAATGAACTGGTAATCAATGTTTGATGAGGATTTAGAGTTGAATCTGTCTGAGGAGAATCCTGTTCCAAATTCAAGTGAGCTGCCAGAATGAAGAAATCTTAGAACATACTGAGGAGCCTCTCCAGGAACTTGTTTATACCATCTAACATAATTCCCATCATATCTCTCTATGTTGCAGTTGAGAACAGCTTGTTGACCTGGAGAAACTGTGTGAACAGAAGGTGTCTGGGTCAACACGATCACTGCATCAACATCTGCCAGGAAACACAGAAAAAAGTGAAGGTAAAAGTTTAACTCTAAATATGGAATTTAAAAAAAATAGGAATGAGAAGAAGATCTTACATGTTAGAGCAGTGATGAGAGTGCAGAGGGTCCACAGCATGTTGTCAGTGTGAGGTGTAAATGATCTTTACTGTTCAGCTGAGATGTGAGTGAGATTGTGAGAAGAGATACTGGAGCTTATAAAGACACAGAGGAAACCAAAGGAGGAGGTGGTTCAACAAAATTACTTTCATTCATAGATCAAATGATTGATGAGGAGTTTCACATTTCACATGTTTCTGATTCATATTCATCATTTACACTCATGTTTGTCATAAGAAACTACTCTGTGAAAAAAGTTGTTGTAAAAGAAACAAATGTTTATCACTGATGTCTTTATGCTCACACGTTACATTTTCTTTCTACCCACAGGTGTTTATGATTGATTACCAACTAAACTTTAATTTAGCTGCATTTAAAACTTCAATATAAAACGTTTGTCTTGACAGTTGACAGTTCTTCATTTAGATGTATCTATTTTACACAACCTCATTGTGTAACAAACACTATCCTTTTAGTCTGATTATTGCCACATGTGCTGCAGCTGGAATGTAACAGTTATCAGAGTTTATCACTATAGACTAGTATACATCAAATTTATATTATTAAAACAAATCACATACAGCAGCATACACATTTTTGTGTTTGTTAGCATTGTGTGTATGATCATTTGTGTTGTTGTAGATGAATGTGCATATTATTGAAATTCCTTGCTTATTTATACGCTCAGTGATAAATGTTAAAAAGAGTCACAAAAAAGTAATTCAGTGTTTATTTCAGTTTTTTTCTCGCATTGGGTCAAATCTCATCAAAACTCTGTACTTTTGTCAGTCACAACTTTAGATTGATCACTTTCCAGAATAGTCCATCACTGAATTAATGTCTTCAGTCAAATTACTTCAAACTGAATATTTTTGATGACTTGGTCTTCAGGGATGGTGAAAACTTTGTATTCATTCATCACAGAGTTGAGGTGATTGACTGTTCATGTTTTGACAAATGTGGAAAAGGTTTCAAGGTGGTGGGTTATTTGTTATTGTTAATTTATTTCAAACATGTAAACAATATACAGGTACATTTAGTAAAGAAAATAAGTGAAAGAAAAATACTATACGAAACTCAGTACATTTAAATATTGCTACCGTTCTGATTCATGTACATATATAAAGGGAGTGGAAAGAAGTACACACTTATTTAATCCCACCTCTTTGCCATAAGTTATCAGTTAATATTTAATCAGCTTCCTTACTGATATAATCTATAATAAAAAAGTGAACAGATTTCCGATATAATATAATATCACATCATGAAATTTTTTAAATAGAGACATTCACTTAATTTCGAGAAGATCATATTTTTATAATTCTTCTTAGCTCTTTTATTTTAACATGGACCAGTCTCAAAAAGCACAAGTAATAGTGAGTACCTTTTGTCCCACCCCACTGTGATACTTACTCATTATTATCATTTCATCATGTGTGTCAGTAATAAACTGAAGAGTCTCCTGTCTCCGCCTGTTTAATTATGAAGTGGTAATCAATGACACTTATAAAGACACAGAGGAGAGCAGAACTGAAAGAGGAGTTTCAGAAAAACAGCCTTCTTTTATAAAAGACTTAAATTACCAATATAAATAATTTATAAGACAAGACAAAGATAAGATAAGATAAGATAAGAAAAAACTTTATTAATCCCTCGGGTGGGTTCCTCTGGGAAATTTGGTTTCCAAATAGCACAGCACCGACAGAAGTTACAGAATGTGAGCAGAATACCATATATACACATATATAAATACAGAGACATATTTAAATAAAGAGTATACAAAAGGGATAAATAGAATAAATAGGAATAAGAATACAACGGAATTGCACATTTCAAGTATTGAAGTCTATTACACCGTTGGTTATTAACAAAAAGTATTGCACAGTGAAAAGGCACTACAGCTTACTTGTTCCCCCCTCCTTTGTCCTCCTGTTGCCCCTCCCTCTCCCCTCATACAGTGAAAATTGCCTTTGTATGAGCATTATTGTTTCAATCTCAATGATTTCATATAATCTTCTTTGTATTTGCTCTTCAAAAATTAATATAAATGACTTAAACAGTGTATATGACATGGTCCTGGGTCTGCGACTCAGGTTTTGGATTTCTATTCTTTGATTACTGTTGTTCATGATTTTGGTTTCCTTTCAAGTTCTCAGTGATCTTAGTTCTCCCTCCCGTAGTATTTATCTCAGCCTGTGTTTAGTCTCTGCTGCTGTGTTTTCTCTGTGCTGTTCCTGTGTTCCTCGTTTCCTGTAGAGTCACCCTTGTCTCTGTGTTCGTTCATCTCTTGTGTCTCCCCAGTCAGTCATGTCTCTCTGTGAGTGTTAGTTACCCTTGTCTCTGTGACCCATGTTTGCTCTGCATCCGCTGTCAGTCGGATTTTTGTGTCAAGTCTGTATCTCCGTTCCTTCTCCTGCTTCCTGTTTTACTTTGATAGTCTGGTGTTCTTTCTTAATGTTTCCAGTTTTGCTTCCTTCACGTCCGGTTATGTGTGATTGCTCCCAGCTGTGCTCTCCTCCTGTGTCTGATTCCCTCGTTACTCCCTGTGTATTTAAGCCCTGTGTTTTCCTCTGTCTATTGTTATGTTGTACAATCATACTCCCTCATTGCTATGTGTTTTCTCTGTGACACCTGATAACTTCTAGGTCTGTGTTTTTCTAATTTCCAGTTTTGTTTTTCTCAGTTGTAATATTCCGAGTTTTTGTCTCAGCAAATAAATCTGCCTTTTTCAGTTGAACCTTTTGTTTGAGTCCTGCATTTGGGTCGTAATCCTGAATGTCACAGCCATAACATGACATTATATGGTTAATAATAATAATAATAATAATAATAATGTATACTTTATACTATTGATAACCATGGGGAAATTCCTCTCAGCAGTATATTCCTCTTTCATAACAACAAATTACATACACTGATTATCTAAAAAGAAAAGAAAAAAAGAAGAAAAAACAATAGACATACACAAACACAGAGAAATTCACTCAAGGTGAAGGTAGAAAGAGAATATGTTTACATTCTCTTTCTACCTCATTAACATGCTTCTTCTCTCTGCAACTAGAGACTACAGCTTGAAATCTGATTTAAAATTAACATGTTGACAATGTTTTTGATCAAACATATTTTACACCACAATAATATTAAAAGCTGATGGCGTGAGATTTTATGAGTGAATATTTTGTGTTTATTTTGGTGCTTTGTTTATTTAAAGTGAAAGTGCAAATGAAATAAATGCAATGAATAAATTTAACAGAGCAATGTTTAAGAACTAATTGTGCGCCTTTGGTGCAGTTTGTGCACAAAAAGCAGAAGTAATAGTGAGGAAGTTTTTGTCACAGTGTAAATCACTGTGATACCCCGCTAGCAGCAGAGCTGTCCCATGTCTGACAGTAATAGACTGCAGAGTCTCCCTCCTCCACACTCTTGATGATCAAACGATAATCTGATGTTGACTGATGAGTGGATGTGAATTTTGGAGAGGAGAACCCAGAGCCATAGGTTGGAGAACTCCAGCCATGATACATCCTCAGCACATGCTGAGGACTTCCTCCTGGAATCTGTTTATGCCAGGCAGCAACATTATTTGTAACAGTCCCCAGGTTACAGTCCATGGTGGCTGTCTCTCCTTTCCTCACTGATAAAAGAGGAGGTTTCTGTGTCACCACCGTCACACCACTCACACCTGCAAACAAGAAGATATGGAGTCATGAGAAACACACTGACATTTGAATATAGCATGAGGTCTATTCTTCAGTATATTTTAGACTCTTTACATGTTAGAGCAGTGATGAGAGCACAGAGAGTCACCAGCATGTTGTCAGTGTGGGCTAAGAACTGAGTGGAGAGGTGATGGTGGAGGAGCTATTTAATACAACTAACAGGAGGAGGAGCATTGGAGGGTTTTTTGTTTTGTCTGTATTACTAATATTGTTTGTGTTCTCAATGGTGTTGGTAATGTTTTGTCATCTTCTTTTTTTCCATTGTTCATTTTTGTTTTTATTTGTTGTTTTGAATTTTGGAATAGTTACTCTCTCCACATCCAAAATGAGACAGGATTACAGTTGGTTACATTTGATACTTAATCTTGTGCTTTATTCAAAAATTAAACCTTGGTTTAAATTTTTCTACATTTAAACATATCACTGTCTAGAGAACACTGTTAGAAATTAATAATGTGACATTTTGACATTTTTGGATGATGTTGAGGTTCTTCTTTAATTACCTCACTAAAGGTTACATTAGTGACAACTTTCACACTAACTGTAAAATTATTCTGTTCACTAAAAAGTAAAAAAGAATCTTTTTAATTCAATGCTTTTATCAAGGTAATCAATTTTATAGAAAGGACACATACACAATGTTGCAGAGTTGGTGATGTTTTATATAATTTGTGAGGAGGTTTTGTGCATACAGAATTGTGTAATGTTACTTGCCAGTCTACAAATATAGAACAGCATGCATTTTCGCTGCATTGTATTTATTTCTTTACATATTTATTTGTATTTATTTAACAAAGTTAGAGCGGACATTTCACAAATGTGGTTACACGTTGATTATGTTCTTGTATCTTCACCTTACTAAAATGTAACATTTTCAGGTTTGTCATTCTAAATTTATGTTAGTGGCTACTTTGAAAAAGTATTCTAGTTTACTAAAAACGAAAACAAATGTTGTATATCCAATGCTTTTGAGTGAATGCAAAATATCAGTTCCTTTGAATATCTGCAAATAAAAACATGACTTAAACATTTTACTTGATTCTGATTTCTAACATGTAAACTTTGCATTGAGCAAACAGCACAAGCAGTAAAAAGGCATATTCTAAATGCACATTTTGGTCCTTGACTATTCATTGGGACATTCTGACATCTTGATTGTAGCAAAAAAAAAAATAATGGTAATAAATAAACAAAGAGAAATTCATGTATTCAGTGAACACACAACACCCAATTGAAAAACCTATATAGCGTGTCACAAAAGCTAAGGCACTGTGTGTGTGCATGCATGTGCGAGCATGTTAGTGAATGTGTGTGTGTGTGTATGTGTCTCTGTATACG